CAAGGATGGAAAGCTCAGCCCCCCAGTAGCTCTGGCTGTGGGAAATACAGGCGGAGCGGCTGTACCAATTCAAGGTGGCAGGTGCTTCGACAGAGGCAAAGACGGGTGCCTGGGCCCCCAGCCCAGGAGGAAAGGGGAGCCGGGGGAGGCTTTCCTGAGCTAAGTCCTGCCTCAGCCAGGCCCTGAAGGGTGAGGAGGCCCCGGCCCCATGAACAGGCAGGCACAGCATGGGCAGAGGGCAGGGCCACGGGAGAACAGCCCCATCCGGGGCCTGACATTCAGGGAACGGTGAGTTGCTCAGCTCCAGGGGAGGGCAGGCCAGGGAGCGTGTCCTTCGTGGCTCAGCTGAAAAGACAGTCCTGACAGTGCTGTGGTCCAGCAGCTACCTGGGTGGAGCAAGTGGTTGGTGTTCGACAACTAACAGAAATGTTGGCAGTTCAAACCCACCCAGCAGCTCTGCAGAAGAAAGGCCTAGAAATCTGCTTCTGTAAAGATTACAGCCAAGAAAACCTTATGGAGCTCAGTTCTACTCTGTAACACAGGGTCCCTGTGAATCGTAACCGACTCAATGGCAACAGGTTTGGTTATTTTGGTTTATGGTCCAGCCTCGTGGGATCCAAGAAGCCAAAGGGCCTGAGACAGGGGCCTGGGACTCCCCGGGCTGCTGAGGAAGGAAGGAAGGGACAGCCAGGAAGACAGGACAAGATGCCAGAGACAGGAGGGCGGTCCCCCAGAGACCCAGAGGTTTACCAAGATAAGGCCAGACGAGCCTTGCCAGAAAGGAATCATGGAGGATAGTTAGGGTAAGAGGGGAAGCAAAGCAAGGAAAGGCAGCAGGGATGGAGGTGAGGGGGCTGCTGGTGGGAGAAGGGCAGAAAGTTTTCTGTTGGTAACATAATCACCATCGTAAACAACCACTCTGTGTGTGTGCAAGTGCCAAATTAAATCTGTGTAACAATTAGGCCGACACAGTTTCGGATCAGGGGAAACAATTCAAGTCCTGCTGTGTGTTCCCAGGTGCAGGTGAAAGAGGAGAGCTCCCAGGGCGGAGAGGAGCGAGAACCCCGCGCTGGGCCTGCCTGGCAGCTGTAGCCCACGGGCAGGGAGACGGCCGCTGGGTGAGCAAGTTGTCAGAGACAGAGATAGCTGTTAACGGCCAGCTGCCTGCAGGCAGATAGTGGCTCCGCTGGCAACTGCCTTCCTCACCCTCTGCCTTCCCCTCCCCGAGCGAGCGGCCCCTCGGCAGCAGAGGGCGGGGGCAGTGCACACCTGGGCTCTGCATTCTCGGTTTTGTCCAGACTCCTGCTGCTGCTGCCGACACCACTGGGGTCCTGGGAGGAGCGGGAGGGGACCCCACACTCATTTTCTGATGCCTTCTGTGCATGGACCCTGAGAACTCTGCAGGCCTGGATCTCTGGGGCTGAGAAGGCTCATTTTCATGAGGACCAGCCCTCAGTCTGGAGGGAAATAGGGTCCTTTAGATAAAGGACCCCCATTAGAGACAGGAAGGGCCTTGAAAGGCACCTGGAATCCTGTGATTTTGCACTGTATCTTACATAGGGCTCTGGGTGGCACAAAGTTTGCATCTGACTACTAACTGGAAGGTTGGCGGTTTGAACCCATCCCACAGTGCCATGGAAGAAAGGCCTGGCGATCTGCTTCTGTAAAGATTACAGCCAAGAAGATCCTATGGAGCTCAGTTCTACTCTGTAACACATGGGCTCTCCATGAATTGGAAACGACTCGATGGCCAACAGCTTATCGTCTTGTATCCATCCTGTCCTTTGCTCTAACAAAGCAACTGGGCCTCTGGGATAAAAATCAAAAGCCCACTATCCCCTCCCCGCAGAAAAGCAACAGGTTATTAAGCGGCCTTCTGTGTTTTAAGGACATAAGATGTTAGGAGTCTGGAGTTCAGTTTGTTCTTTTCTTTTCTCACTCCATACATTCTCCTGGGAAGACCCAATCCGCTTCCATTTTAAGGCCACCCAGAAATAAGTCAAATTGCTCTGCAGCCTGGCACGCTCTCCTCGGCCTCACATCTGTATGTATCTACCTACCCACTGAATGTCTTACCGGCCCCCGTATTCATCACCCATCCCCAGTCCCACTCTCTTCCCACCTAGCCACCCACGTCACAGTCCTTCCTGAAGCCCTCCTTTATCCCTGGCTCTCCCACCCAGACAGCCAGTCTTCTGGGACCTCCTATCCGTCCCCCTTCCCTTCCACAGTGCAGGGCCTTTCACCCCTCCGCCGGTCCCCCAGGCCCAGTGCAGCCCTTTACCAGTCCATCCTGGCCACCGCTGCCCGGTCATCTTTGAAGAACACAAGTCTGACAAGGTCACTCCCAAGTCTAAATCCTTCGGTGGCCTCCCACTGCTCTCAGGGAAAGAGTCAAACTCTTCTGCCTCCAGCCACAGAGCTCCTCGCCGCCCTTCCCCAGAAGCGGTCCGTGGGAACTGGGCCTCTTCCTTTGCTCAAAGGCCCTTTCCCTCACTTGGTCCTGCCACTCCTAACCATCCTTCAAAACTCAGCTCAAGCCCTTCTCAGACACCCTGGGTCAAAGACCAGCTAAAAGCCAGTCCACCACGCCCCAGAGCAGGCTGTGCCCACCTCTGCAGGAGCATCTACCAGGTGAACTGACCTGCCTGTCTCCTCTATACACTGGAAGCCCCGCAGATATAAAGTGTTATTCAACTTTATCCACGAAACATGGCACAGTGCCTCCTCGGGTGAAAGATGAACCCAAGAAACGTGTGTTGAAGGAATAAAGAAAACTACCGAATAATGAATTCAAGCTGCTTCTTGGTAAAAGGCCTGAGGTTTTGTTTCTCTGATATTATCTCCGTTTGGAAGGATAAACTGCTGCCCTGAAATTACTGTTTAAAGTTGGAAAGGTCTCTTTGTGCCATTTACAGAGTTGTCATAACATAAAAGGTATGCTCACGCAGGTAAAACATTGAAAAGGTAAGTACTGTCTAAGTGCTTTTCTACAACCTGGTTCACTGTCCTTACGTACTTTAAATCCGAAACCACCTAAGGGCAAACTCTGAAACGTGTCTTCTGAGGCAGGCTCAGGAGGTAATGAGAATTAGGAGCAGAACCACGTGCCCAAGGTGGACAGCCCTGGCAGGTGTGGTCAGCGAGAGCCAGCAAGGTCCACCTGGAGGTGAACTTGCGGATCCAGGGGGTGAATTTCATCGCTGTTATGAAAACCCTGCCTAGATTCCTAGATGGCTCCTGCACCCCAGAAAGGTCACCCTCAGCCCGAACGGAAACCACTGGGTTAGTTCACGCTACTGCTCTGACACCACCACCTTCGTTAATTTTAACGCATGTTTATGGAGGACCCAGCCCAGGGGGAGGCAGTGAGGGAGCCAAAGATGAAGGAGACTCGGTTCCAGCCCTGCTGGCAAGGAGAGAGACTTCTAAGCAGAGCACTCGCTATCCAGTAAGCACTTCACGCAGAGGCTTTATTGGAGCTCTGAGAAGATTAGGTGAGGATCAAGCCTCAGGACAAAAGGAAACTCGGGCAGGGTCACGCCACTGGCTAGGAACACACAGCAACCGCCATCGAGTCTGACTCTGACTCGGAGCAACCCTATAGGACAGAGTAGAACGGCCCCCATAGGGTTTCCAAGGAGAGCTGGTGATTTCAAAACTGCTGACCTTTTGGTTAGCAGCCGAACTCTTAACCACTGCGCCACCAGGGCTCCAACGAAGACAATGGTAAATCTGTGAGACTTCTTGTTTTATCTGGGTTTGCTTCTGTCCAGCTGGGGCCCTTTAAATGAAAGGAACCTGCACGCTCCTCCAGGCAATGAAGCAAACATTTACAGGTGCCACCTGTGCGCCAGGGGGAGAAAGGGAAGACGGAGCCCGTGCCCTGAACGTATGCCAATACGCCAACCAGTGAGAGGGCTCTTTCTGCAAACTGCCTGGACATCACCTGCCGACTCTGGCGCAGACATTCAGGGAGATAAGGAAAATCACCTCTGTGCTTCTAGGGGCCCTGGAGAGATGGATTCCCGGCTAGGAATAAGCAGCTGAATAACGACCACCCTGCATCACAGCTACATCTGCGACCAGCTCCACACCTCCGGCGCCTCCCAGTCCAACGCTAACCTAACAATCAACAGGTGGCTCTTAGACAACCTTTGGCCTTGACTGCCAGCCCGTGAGTCCTAACCCAGAAGGCCCACGTCAGGGTCTGCTTTCCACACCCTTGGCAGCCAGGGTGCCAGGGCCCCTGCCTGGAGCTGAGTGTGACAAGGGGCAGCCCAGCTCAGGTGATGCCAGCTGTCTTACTCAAGGATGCCAGGCCACTCCGGGTTTCCATCTCCCCTGGCAGGGTGGCCATGGCACTTGCAGACGGGGCTCAGAGGATGGGTGAGCCCCTAGGCGGCAGTGTGTCTTCCTGGGGCAAGTGGGGGGCCTGGCGGTGCAGGTCTTCGCAGCAGCAGGCAGGAGAGGATCTGTTGAAATTATGACCCAATCCGGGGGGGGTTTCCTACCCGGCGGCGACAGAAAACGCTCGCAGGAAAGAGAAACAAGGAGAGCTCCACGCACGCTGGGCGGGGGGCGCCGACACTCCCGGGTCACCCCTGCCCGGCCCGGGGACGGCGGGCAGTGCCAGCCGGGGACGGCGGGGGAACGCGGGCTCCGGGGCCCCCCGACGGGGGCCGTGACCGGGGACCCCGCGCGTCCAGCCTTGGACGAGGCCTTGCAGCCGGCCCCACGCGCCCTCCCTACGCCCAACCCCCAGCGGCCCCGCCGCGGTGACAGCCCGGCGACCCCGGCCCGCCTGCGCCCTCCGCCCTCGCCGCCGCACACCCACCTCTCGCCGCCGCACCGCTTCCCCTGAGCTCGCCGAGCGACCGCGTCGCTGGCCCTGTGCGCACGCGCACCGCCGGCCCCGCCCCCTGAGCACGCGCCGCCACCACCCACCCCGAGTGCCCGCGGGTCTCCGCCGAGCCGTCTCTGGGCATGCGCACCGACGCCTAGCGGAGACCGCCGGGGAGCATGCGCCGGCGGAGCACCGCATCCCCAGCGGAGGCGTGGGGGCTCGCGCGCTGTCTCCCGCGGCGCGAGTTACGTGGGGCAGTGGCCTGCGCGGTCCCGCTGAGGGCAAGGGCTGGGGCGTCAGCAGTCGGGACGCGACGACAGCTGTCCGCTGGAGTCGCCCTCCGGCCGGTCACGCATGCACCTGTGACTGGGCGTCCGCGTGGGCGCGACGTTCGGTCCCTAGCGGGCGGAGAGGGGGCTCAGGGGTCCTGGGGCGGGACCTGAGCGGAGGGGCGGGAAGGAGAGCCGGAGGAGCCCTGAGGCCTGGGGTCAGAGACGCGGGCAGAGCAGCCGGACCAGACAGGGTCCCAGCAGGCAGAGACCCAGCTGGGGACAGGGACGCGGACACCCAACGGCAGAGACGGTGACAGGCAGACAGGTGACAGGCTGGGCGGGCCAGGCCAGGACGGACGTGGCACCAGATACCGCGCGCAGTGGACACAGGCGGCGATCCGCGCTGGGGAGGAGGCATAGCGCGCTCTGCGGGACCTGGCAGAGGGTGGGGGGATTACTGTTCGGGAAGTGGTGGGCCAGGTCACCGAACCCCACGGGGGTCCACAGGCGTCTATGGTAGCCACAGTGCTTCTTGCGGAGGTCAGGGCGCTCCCTGGAGGATCACAGAGTCCTGGGGGGCACAGCGGTTCTTAGGCTTTGCACAGCTTTGCAGAGTCTGGTCCCACAAGGGGGTTCACGGTGCCCCTGGGAGAGGGCAGACAGCACGGGGGGATCACAGCGTCCTCTCAGGATGACAACCGCCCACGGGAGCCTCAAAGCAGCTCTTGGGGGTGATCACTCTCTGTCCGGGGCGGAGTGTCGTTCTGTCTGTTCTCAAATTCCCTCACGGCACAGGCGTCAGGCATAGAGGGAGGCACCGGGTGGGGACTGCACGCGGGCGAGGGCCACAGATGAACGACACGCGCGACACGAGCAAAGGCTCCTCGGCAGCCGGATACGCTGGGTGACCGTGCGGCGTGATGGGGAGCTGCGCCCCGCCCGGCCCGCGAGCTCAGGCCGCTCCACAGC